AATGGGTCGGCCCATGCGCTCCTCCTTCAGCGAATGCTCGACCATTTGCCGCCCGCGCGCGGCAAATAGGAGCTCTTCCCAGGGCCATGCACGGACTCCTTAGTAAACGGTCGGGCCAGCGACACGTTAGGCTCGTGTGGGCCATGTACTTTTCGGCCTAATGTTGTTTTGGGGCCATTCGGCCTGTTTTGGGGCTATTCGTTAGGCTCCTACTCGCCGCTCGTTGCGGCAAACAGACACGGTTTCGCACAGGCGGGTGTCCAACTGGGTCGGCCCGTCAATATAGTAAATGACAGCGTGCTGTAAAATGAAAGCTGCCGTCGTCGCGGGAATTCGAAACCAGGCCTCATGCAATACCTGACATGGCACAACTAGTTGAGCTAGCAGTCGTTACAGGTTCTATTGCAGCGCTAAGATTAAAGAACCAACCTGCAGTGCAGATCCAAATTATATCTTAAATTTCAAAAGCATTTTTTATTAAAAAAATGAAGGGATGTGTGAAACAGAAACAACTTGCTAACTTTGCAAACAAAATTTTAAAACTGAAATGTTTTCGAAAATCAGGAACATTTTGTTTGAAACGGGAACATTTTTCAAAATTCCAAGACAGAATTTGAAATTGTGAACATATTTTAAAAAATGTGAAAACAATAACATTTTCTGAATTTGTGAACAAAATTTGAAACTGAACAATTTTGAAACTCCTGAAAAAATGAAAACGTGCACATTTTAAAAATTTGTGAACAATTTTTGAAAACGGGAACATGTTTTGAACCGCCTGAACATTTTTTTAAATTCTTGAACAAAATTTTGAAACTGGACAATTTCAAAACTCCTGAAAAATAAAAATATGCACATTTTTGAAACTCCTGAAGATGAAAACGAGAACATTTCTCGAAATTACGAACAGTTTTTTGGAAATGCGAACTTTTTTTAAAAAAAGAAATAAAATTGAAACCATAATATTTTTTTCAAAATGCCAACATTTTTTGAATTTATGAACAAATTTTGAAAAGAACAACATTTTTTGAATGTGTGAACAATTTGAAAAGGGGAACATTTTTTGAAATTCACAACTTTTTTTCATATTTCTGAAAAATAAGTACATTTTCCAAAATTTTGACGTTCTAAACTCTTTGGAATTTTCGAACATTTCTTAAAAAAGCGAACAATTTTTCAAATTCTAAACTTTTTGCAATTACTAAACAAAATTTGGAAACAAGAACATTTTTCCAATAGTGCACAAGATCTAAGAAATTTGAACATTTATCTAATGTCTGACCTTTTGTTGAAAAAGAAAAATAAACTCGAAAAAAGGAAGAATAGAAAATAAGAAAATAAGAGAAAAAGAAAAAGAAATAAGAAATAAAAGAAGAAGAAGAACAAAGAAATACAAAAAAATGGAAAAGAAATGAAAAAGAACGGTTCAAGAACCTATTGGAAGGTTCCCAAAATCGAAAAGAATCGTCTGGAACGTCCTAGAAGTTTCCGAAAACCAGGAATCCTGAAAACACTTAATAGGTGAAAGGATCGATATAGTTTGACTAGAGGAGGGGGGTGAATAGGCAACTAACAATTTTTAGCTTTTCTTTACCAAATTAAACTTTGCATTAAAGTATGTTGCCTAGATATGCAACTAGGTGAGCAACCTATATGATGCAACAACAATAAGCATACAAGCAAGCAAATGATAGAACACAATATAGCTTGCACAAGTAAAGGTAAGAGATAACCAAGAGTGGAACGGATGAAGACGAGGATGTGTTACCGAAATTCCTTCCTTTTGAGGGGAAGTACGTCTCCGTTGGAGCGGTGTGGGGGCACAATGCTCCCCAAGAAGCCACTAGGACCACCGTATTTTCCTCACGCCCTCACACAATGCCAGATGTCGTGATTCCACTATTGGTGCTCTTGGAGGCGGCGACCGAACCTTTACAAACAAGGTTGGGGTAATCTCCACAATTTAATTGGAGGCTCCCAACGACACCACGAAGCTTCGCCACAACAGACTATGGCTCCGCGGTGACCTCAACCGTTTAGGGTGCTCAATCACCCAAGAGTAACAAGATCTGCAAGGGATTAGTGGGGGGAATCAAATTTCTCTTGGTGGAAGTGTAGATCGGGGCCTTCTCAACCAATCCCTAGAAAATCAACAAGTTTGATTGGCTAGGGAGAGAGATCGGGCGAAAATGGAGCTTGGAGCAACAATGAAGCTTAGGGATGGAAGAGGTGAGCAACTAGAGGAATAAAACACCCCTTTTAGTGTCAAGGGACAATTCCAACCGTTACCCACCACTCAGCCCGCGATCCGCGGTACTACCGCACCACTGGAGCGGTACTACCGCACGGGCCTGCGGTACTACTGTGGGCGCGGCAGGGCCTGGACCCGACCAGATGAGCACCAACAGGGGGCGGTAGAACCGCTGGCGCGGTACTACCGCGCCCCTATGCGGTACTACCGCATGGTAGGCACTGTCCAGGCACGGTAGGCACAGATATAAAAAATTATATCCGTGACTACATCCGCTGAGATTTTATCTATGCAAAAGTCCGACACGGTACTACCGCAAACCAGGTGCGGTACTACCGTGTAGGGCGCGGATGTAAAAAATTACATCAGCCCCTACTTCCGCTCGTGCCGCTGTGCCTAGCCAGGATTCACGGTGCTACCGCACTGGAGCATGTTACTACCGCGTGGGGCGCGGATGTAAAAAATTACATCCACCCCTACTACCGCTAGCGCAGTAGCGCCAGGCCAGAGCTCACGGTACTACAGCTCAGAAGGAGCGGTACTACCATGGGCGGCCACGGTACTACCGTGTCGGGGCCCGGTACTACCGCTGGTGCCTCCGGTAGTACCGCTCTGGGGAGCAGTACTACCACCAGCCTTTGAACAACAACACTAGGAGTCCTTCATTCTGCAGAGACACGGTGAGATAGAGGAAACTCTAAAGATCCAAAGAAAAGGCGGTGCAAAAGGAACATGTGTACGTGAGATTCCACCCAAACCTTTCCAACGAGGACCCCCTCTTAATAGTACGGCTTTCCTATGACTCAAATCCACCGAAAAGAAACGTAGAGGAACGTTTTCTTCAATAATCTTCGAGGGGCATCAAATCATCTTGTGTTCAGTCATGGTATATCTGAAAAGCTCAATGCACACGATTAGTCCACAAATGCATTATCATGAATCACCAAAACTACTAAGGGATAAATATGCCCTTACAATCTCTCCCTTTTTGGTGGATTGATGACAATATGGGATTTGCACATAGGGATATAAAGTGAGGCAACGGCAAACCCACCATCTATAAAATATAGACGGGCTCCCCCTAGATGTGTGCACTCTAGAGATGTGCTTTGGACTGCACGGCACACA